AAAAAGGGCAGACTGCCAGCGCACATCCAGCACCACCTCTCCACCCGGTCAGGTGGCTGACCAAATCTTCGCAGAGGACCCGTGTGAGTGCGAGTGCGCCACTAGAGGTGCGCCTTTCTCGACGCTGAGGGTGCAATGCAAGTGGTTGATATTGCCATGAATGGGTAGCAAAACCCACCCCGACCCGGCCTCTGTCCAGCAAGGCTCCATTCCGTCTGCGACCTCGCGGAGGATGGACGGGTTGGTCCTTTTTTTTTACTCAATTTTTTTTCTCCTTTCCTTGCTTCCTCTTTTGTTTTGTGCTTCCCCTTGCCTTTTCAAGTGCCGGGCCACACGACCTGCAGCGATCGGAGTGAGGGGCGACGGGAAGCCGGGGCGGATGGAGTGGGTGCATGGTCGTGCAGCCCTCCTCCTCGCGCACGCCACTGGCTGCCGCCGCCGCCGCAGGTTAAAATGTGACAGAGCATGAGACGACTCCTTTGATTACCACAACACACCACCCGCCCACCACGGCCCGGAGCCTCGATTGTTGTGTGAGTGTGTGCGTTTGTGCGCGCGTGCCTCGATGCTGCCCGCTTGCTTGGAGTTGAGAGTGCCCGGCCATGAAACATTTGCCACCCAGCCGTCCATGCCATGTTCGGCCCTGTGTCATCTGGCCCAGTCCAGACCTGGGCCTTCTGAGAAGCTTGTGTGCTGGTTGGTTACGTGCCGTGAGTGCTGAAGCCGGGCCTCCTTTCGACAAACGAGATCGGCGAAATGCAGGACGTCTGGGTAAGGCCGTCGGGCTTACTCTCCCTTGTGTGATCAAAAGGCCAGGAACAGGGTGCGGGCTCGGGCTCAGCACTTGGGCAACGACTTACCTAGGTAGGTACCTACTCATAACTCGCCTGCTATATCGAAGAGGCAGGTCTCTCCCGCCAGCCTGACGATACCCAGAAAAATATTCCCAGAAAAAAAAACGCAAATGCTACTGCCAGAGGATAAAGCCGAAAGCCCGAACACAATCAAGCCCCAACGTCAAGCGCCCGAACGCACTGGCAGAAAGGGAAAACAATCAACCTAGACTCCGGGTATGCCAAAACATGCGATGCAATGTCCTCTCTATTTCCCGGGCCATTTGCTGCGATAAAAAAGGGCGTCGGCTCCGGCTAAATTGCGACTTGCGGAAACTTTTCCCAATGGCCGTTCGCGCGCAGGCCCCCTGCCAGGAGGATCCAATGTACCGCGGCGGGTACCAATGACTCTGGCTAGGCCAAGGCCGCAGGGGCCCCGGCCGCAGAAGCCGTCGTACACGGTACCTCACCAAGACCGATATGGTACAGCGAGCGCCTCCCCCCACCCCTGGACTGCCCGCCTAAGCAGGGCCGAATCGAGGACCAGGCCAATTACAGCAGAGATGCGACGGGCTATCGGCCAATAGTAGATCCATGATACTGAGCTAAGACGCCTCTTGTGTCTGTTTGCTCGGGGCAGCCTTTGCGTGAGCAGCAGAGCAGGGCGAGTTGAGGGCACCACTGGCACACCCACTGGCAACCAGACACCCACTGGACGCACCCACGCCCAGCCCACACCCACGCCCCCCCATGTGCTGCGCTGGAAGCGACGCACCCTTCCAGCGTGGCCGACCCTCTGCAGTGGACTCTGGCCCGATACGCTCCCCACTATTACGCCGGCCAAACCGCCGTGGCCATCCATGATCCATCTTGCTGCGTGCTGAATTCGACGCTGGCACTGGGGCTGGCACTGGCACTGGCACTGGCACTGGCGACCCCCATCGTCGTCAATCCGCTCCATCATTGATCCCCATCATTCCTTCTTCAATCTTTGTCACCCGCCTTCCCCCTCCCTGGAACCAGCCAGGCCACTCGCTGGCTCCCACAGAAGTGACAAGACCCCCAACCGCCTGCCCAGCCCGTCTTTGGAACGGCTCGAACTCGATTGGCACGACCCCGGGCCCGCCTTGGTCGCTGGCGCCGCTTCCCCCACGCTCTCAAAACAGGCCCAATCATCACTCTCTTGGCCGTTGCGCCTGCCCGCCTGCCATTCTCCTTGTCCCCTCCATTTCCTTGTTATCCTCGGCCTCTTGTCCCGTTTCTTCTTTTCTTCCACCTTCCACCCCCCTCCTCCGCAGGCCTTCTGAGCCTGTCACTACGGAGCGAAACGTTGCACCGCGCGCGACCACGGCCGACAGACAGACTTGACAGTACCACGACAGCAGACGGACAGTCGAGAATAAAAAAAAGAGAAGGGAAGGAAGAGAGAGTTGGGGAGGGAGAGTGAGCGAGAGAAAGTGAGGGAGCGACGACCTTGGTTTCGGAACGCGATTCCTGAACGATTGCCCGCAGCCTGCCCTCGCGACGGCTCACACGCTGCGACGCCCACCTCTCTCGACGCCGTCGGTGTCCAATCTCCCTAATCGTCCTCTCCCGTCATTCCGGCCCGCGCTCGGGGTTACCGTATCGTCGCCCGACCTGACGCAAACAAAAGTAGCCCCTGGGCTCTGCCAATCGTTACCCTTCCACCCACCGCGCCCGCGCGCCTTGTCTCGAGATCCTATTTCTGTATAGGAATTCGAAGGACAGACCACGACCCCACGCTCCGCAGGTTCCGCGCCTGCCAACTGATCTCGCCTGACGCTTGCGCCGGGCACATCACTACTTGGCAAACAGCTCTCCGGGCGCATCAGCTACCGATATCGCGACCCTCAACCTTCCTACTCGGCGACACGACGGCAGGGCCGCCCCGACTACGGATATCTGTGGGTGAGGCAAGGACGGCTTGCCAGATCACAGCGCTCCCTCTGTGCCGTTGCACGCTGCTGCATCCCCTCGATCGCGTCCGCCCACGACGGCCGTAGCAATCGTCTCGGGCGGCTGCTCTGTCAGACCTCGGCCGAACCCAGATGTCCCAACATGATTGATCTGAGGAACACCATATTCATAAACGTCCCCACTCACTCGGTCGGGCTCTCGGCCGCTCGCTAAGGGGCTTGCTTGGTTAAACATTCCGGGCCATCGCGCAAACCTCGTCGCCGCCGCAGACGCCCCCTCGCCTCTACATCCGCAACCATGGCTGCACAGCCGCCCCGACCAGCAGTGATGGACCACTCGCGCGTTACCGAGTTCGGCTCGGAGATGTACTTTGCGAAGCTCCAACAGCAGGAGCAGCAAAGAACGGACCAGGCCGCCAGTGGTCCATCAGTCGCTCTGCCATCTGTCATACCACACCACTCATTCGCTTTGCCAGTGCGAGAAAGGAAGAGGAGAAATTTCAACATTACCAGGATTTTCCAGAAGTCCCCCTCTGAACACCTGCCAACCCCGAGGAGAGATTCTTGCGGTGATGGCTCCAGGACGCGAAGGTTGGTGCCAAGTAATCATGTGCTGGGCAAACCGACAGAGACTTTCCATGTCTTGATGCCATACCCCGGTGGATGCGGCGGCTAACCAGAACCTTGGACAGTGTTGCCATTGATAAACTATTTCTCGCCTTGCCAACCGAGCTGCAGATCGAAATCATCGTCTCGCTTCCCCTGTCCGATATTTTGAACCTCCGACTAGCGTCAAGAGCGTGGCACGCCATGATAACCATGACCGAGGTGCAGATCGCGCGCTATCATCTGGAGCATAACATTCCAGCCTATGCCAAGCGACTTTACCCTCTACCCGAGGGGACAAAACCAACCCTCCACCACGTCTGTGGGCTATGGCACCGTCTTCACGTTTCCGCCAAGCTGGCATACTTCATCTGCGAGCGCGTTACCAAGGAGATTTTCCTGAGGACTAGCGAGGCTCAAAGAAGAGAGTTTGCCCCCGCCTGGGAGCGTATGAGGCGGCGTCTGATCCCGCTCATCTTCACCATATTTCACTTTTTCGAGACCTACCGCGCCCGCCATCTCGACTATCTACAGAAGAACAGGGGTATTGGGATCCGGCACATGCCCTACACCCTCAACCCCATCGAGGTCGAGGTCATGAACATGTACGATGACCGTACATTACTTCAAGTCCACCAGGTTTTCCCGCTCGTCATTGCGTCTTTCTGCAGGAGGTTGCGGCCGCCGTCCTACGCCGGCCGTGTCGAGAGGACAGTCAGGGGTTATCTCAGGGAGAAACCAGCTGACGAGGTCCACGTGGCTGCCCTGATCTGCGGAGGGATGCGCCAGGCGGAGAAGTTTTGGGAAATCAAGGGTTACAATACGCGCAGGGCAGCGGTGGACACATGGTACAAGTCCGTCACACAAGAGCCGGTCGAGCCCGGCACGGCCAAGGCCAAGCGCGGCCTCAGGCTGGGCAGGAAAAAGTCCATGGCGGTCCTGAAGGGGGACAAGGCGCTGGCTTCGAGCGGAGACGCGGCGACGCACGGCGGGCGCGAGTCGGTCGATTCGGGTTCTGGGCGGCGGAACAGCTTCATCTTCAACACCAGCCTGGCACTGGGTATGCCCATGGGCCCCCTATCGCACGAGCACGCGGCGCTGCTGCTGCCCGACCTGCCGGCCCTGCAGCAGATGTGGCTCACGACGGCCGAGGCTCTGATCCTGAACCGCAAGATCGTCGAGAGGCCCGCCGACATCAAGCGCAACGCCACCATGATGCTGGACCTCATCCGCGAGGGCGGCATGGAGGAGGAGGACGCGTGGTGGTACGGACAAGGCATCCCCGACTCCATCAGGCCACCTCCCAGCGCCACCGAGGACGATCCCATCGAATAAGGCCCAAGAGCGCGCGTCTGGCCCCCCTCTCTAATTCCGCACTCGCCGATGCGTCCGCATCACACCAGCAGCTACACACCATATACTGCCATATCTATCCCATATCCTGTCATATCCCCACCATAATACACCCCACCATAACACACCACACCAAACAACCCCACACCCATGTGCCTCTCATCGACGACTGTGGCATCATCTTTTTGCATACTTTGTCGCTCTTCTGTTGTTAATATTGATTATTCGGAAGCATCGCCGGAGTTTTATGGCTTTGAAACGGGTGGCGCGCCGGCCACATGTCAACGGTTGACAGTTAGCGTTCACGACTGCTATTACTATTACTATGCTATCTCTCTCCTTTGTCCATTTGTCATCCCTATTTTTTTTGTCTGCGTTATTTTGTTCGCACGCCATTTTTGTTTCTTCTTCTTGCCGTTCTGCTACGGTTGAATTCTTATTTCTTTGGCGCTATCTGCATATCTGGAGATTCAAATCGAGAGGAATCTGCTCCAACCTCTCCGTCCTCTTTCTACCAAATGCCTTCGATTCTCATCAAATCAACCCAGAAAGGGTCTGCTATATAGAAGGGTTATTCTTCGGTCTCCATGGTTTTTTTTCCCCACTTGGCCTTGGAAGCAAGCGGTACAGCCATGGTTGGGTCCATCGACCAAATGCCGTTCCTATTATTATTACTTATTCTCATCCTGCCCATTCTTGGCCAGTGCCGGCTCTGTATATCAAAAACTCGAGCGACTATGCCTTTTGCTAATGTCCTTGATCTTGCACACTTGGGAGTTCCAGTATTGCACAATTGTGATGAGACGGTAGCCATTTCATCTCCACGTGATCACGCATACAGACAGCAAGGGTCCAAAAAGAGATTGAGAGCCCGCTGTCGTCACTTTTTCATGATTGTATTAACTGCTAGAGATTGTAGCGTGGCAGAGGCAGAGGGCCTATCAATGCTGGAAGAAGAGTGAGAAAGCAAGAAAAGTATACTTCCCCCCTCATAGTCATGAGCCGTATCATTATCTAGTCCAAGTACCCAGACAAAAAAAAACCAGTAAGCCCGTATTTTCGGTTTGAAAAAAAAAGTCGACCGCAAAACTACCTTTGTGAGAATTTCGCCGTTTGTCCCGATAATGCCTAGAGGATTAGACCACATGAGGGAAAAAGAACCGAGGAAAAATAGATAGGAGCTACGAGAGCGCAGAAGCGTAAGAACAAGTGCAAGCGCCTTTTGTGGAGAAACAAAAAAGCAGACGTGGGGG